ATGTGTATGGTTTCCTTCTCCCTGAGTGTCATCCCAGTAACAATTTATAGCAAACTTAACGTCGTCTTTAACATCATATCCTTTACCTTTTGTCATTCCTGACCAATCCCAATATCTATGCTTATGCAAACCTGCTTGAGATGTACTTAAATCTATGTAATGACTGTGTGCAGGTAAATTTTCACCTGAAATCGTTTTACTTCCACCTGTTTCCTTTGAAGAGTTTGCACAATACAAAAACCTGTCGACTATTTGTTCCCATGCACCAACACCAAACATTACTTGAGGACCTCTTGCATCCATAGATGTATAAATAGAACTTACTGGGTTCATTAAATCAAACATATGAGATATTATAGGATTGTCTCTTTTGAACTTAAAATATAGTGCAACTATTTCAGGTTTCTTCTGGTTTGTGTCAGAATATTTTTTATAATATAATCTTATGTTTTCAGGGTAAGTAAAGTCTTGACTATAATATTTATTTCTGTCATCTGTATAATAATATACTATTCTCGTTTTTTCTATTGCATTATATCTTTTATATCTATAATAATCTAAATATAATGTTAGCTTTTGTTCATCTACATGTGGTGTTTGTCGTCATCTCCATAGTCATAATAATGTGGTGCCGGAGCTGGGTCAGGTAATATCATATCCACCATTTCATAAACTCTTAAATATTTCTTTTGTTCGTCTCCATATAAGTTTAAGTAGCAGTTGTTGTCTAATGGAACTTTAACTTGTGTACCATCATTCTTTTTATAGCTTACATACATTTCATTGTTATTTTTCGGAATGAGTTTATGCCGTGTACCAGTTTCTAAGGAATGTACCAACTGCCATCTAAAATATTTATTTTCTTCATTGACAGAAAAGTCACCAACAATAGTTTCAATATTTTTTGTTCCTATCAAACTTTGGTATATTTCATTGACATATGTTTTATCTGCTTTATTTTCAAGGCTAACGTTTAAGTCTGTTATTTCAGAAGATGTATGTGTATGAGTCTTATCTGCTTTTGTCTCTAATGTTTCCTTAAGACTTGGTATTTGGTTAATATAATGTATATGAGTCTTTTTAGAATATTCGTTTTCAGCTCTTGTCACTTCACTTGACATTTTATTGTCAACATATGTTTTGTCTGCTAGTTCAGGATGAGTATGTTCTTTTGTTGCATAAGCATTGTTAGCTCTTTCTTCTTCTTTTGCTATTGCATCGTCTACATATTCTTTGTCAGCTTTGTTGTCAACATCTGCTTTCAAAAGAAGTTCATTTATAGGTTTCTCGTTTAAAGTTCCTTTTGTTGGATTTATACAGACAGTATTGTTCTTATTGTCTTGAAATAGAAACTCATCTGTCATTGGGTTTATTGTCAGTTTTAAGTCACCCCCTTTCAATGACTCAGATATCTTAGAATAGTTTGAAAAGTTTGTTGTGTTCTTATTTAGAGCTTGCATAATGAGTTGTCGGTTGTGTTGTATTTCTCTCATAGACGCTGTTTCATTTGACATTTTTATTATAGATAAAATATGCTTCCAATAGAAAAAGAAAATTCTAGAGTTGCTACAACTAAACCATTAGATGAACTTTTTACTAATGTCGGTCAAAAGTTTGAGACAGATACCGTAAAGCATGAAGGCTATCGTTTTGACTACCCATTAAGATGGTTAAGAGACCCATCTGTCACAAAAGCTATTGGCTTTCGAAGAATAAAGTTTGTGTCTGTAGAAGATAAAAGTTTTCCATTTATTGTAAGGTTTCATATAGATTATACATCTGAAGGGCAACGAAAAATGTGGGAAGAAATTGAGCTAATACAAGTTGACCTCTCATCTTCTCTACAGACTGCATTAAAAAATATAGAAGATAAAATAAATTCATGTTATGCAAAATATGCTGATGAATATGCAAATACCGATAGCACACTTTATGTGAGAATTGTATATGACAAACAAAATTCACAAGTGTCATTTCAAATCTACGAAGACAATCCAAATAAAGACGAACAAATATATACAGAATTCACTGCAATGTCATGGTATTATTTGCAAAGAATGTTAAATCAGAAAGTTGAACCTCCTTTAGCAAATATCTACAGTCGATATGCAAGAGATGAACCATATTTATTTAAAGATGTTTTCGACCCAGATGCTATTATTGTTCATGCTTCATTTTCTGGCGCCCAAAACTCTTTCTTATGCTTGGCAAATGACTTTTACGAAAAACCTACAAAGTTATACGAACCACCAAGTGGAAGTATTTCAGACTTTCAAGTATGGTTTACTACAGATGGAAGAAAAAGAATAATTCCATTATACCATGCGTTTTACTTAGAACTTAGTTTCATATACAACTACTATCGAACGATAAAAATATAACTTTTTAATATACCGGTTGTGGTTGCCAACTTGACTGTGGTGCAGGTTCAGGCTGTTGTATTACAGGAGCTTGTTCTTCTGGTTCAGGGTCTTTAGGTATAATACCAACAAACTGACCTACTCTTTTACCAATATTTTTGACACTGTTCCATACTCCTCTTCCGACAGATTTTATTCCATTCCATATACCTCTTCCAACATTTCGAAAGAAGTTTCCTATCTTACTGAAGAAACCCATTTTACTATATGTAAAAATCCAATGTCCGCCTAGTCTCTTACGTTTCCTGTTGAGTTCCATAGCATTCTTTAACTGGAGCTCATACATTCTGTTTCTCCTCTGGTAGAAAACATATTCTGGGTCAACTCCTGTGTTCGCGTCATCTGCATAAAGTTGTTTATATCCCACTTCAGGGTTTGTATAAAACTCTTTCTATCTCATATTTGCATACCATGGTGGCAAACCTAACGCAGCGTCATTTGACATGGCAGTTTGCATTTGTACATCTGTTGGCACTTGACCATAGTTTGCCATTGCAGTTTGTATTCTAACTTCATTTGGAATATTCTCTGGGTTTGGTTGTCCAGGTTGCTGTGCATTCGCTAAGTTCTGTGCGTCCATTTAATATTAGATAAAAATATCTCTTACGAGTACATATGCTGAACATTTGCAGGCATTGGTTCATCTTCATATTCTCTGTACTTTTCTGCCACGTCAAATAAATAAATGACACAATGGAAAAAACCTAAAACAAGTAGTCCTATTTCAAACCACATTTACTTACTAATAAAATTTCTTTATTGTGACACTTTCTCCAGTTTATAGGACCTCTCTCATATTCTATCTTGTCATATATAAACTCATAGTCATGTATGTCCTCTAACCATCTCATAACGGTTTCCAAACCACTTTTATCGGATGTAAAGTAAAAGCATGGATGGTTATGTATAACGTCTAAAGTTTCTAAAGAGTCTCTCAAAGTCCAGTCTACTTGGTATTGAAAATCCCATGTGTTATAGAACGGCGGGTCCACTATAAAGAAAACATTTTCCTTGTCTTTATATTTTTCATACAACTCTGTCCAACGACATCTCACAAACTCTATACCCTCAATATATTTTTCTATGTCCTCTTTGAAAACATTTGTATAGTTGAGATATAAAACTTTTGACATAAGTGTTTCAATGTCATGAACTCTTATAGCACCACTATATAATAGTCTAGCAGATATACTATCCCAGTCTATATATTCTGCTTTTTTCAAAACCTCTCTCACAATATTTTTCTTATCTAATGGTATACGTTCCATCTTACCTATAGGTATCTTTTCTTTTAACTCTTTCAATATATTATTTGTGTCTGGAATATGTTTGAGACGGTCCATATAGTTGTCGAAGTCATTGCATATAATCTTTGAGTCAGGAAATACGGTATGACATAAATGGGATATATAGAAACTTCCACCGAACAAATCTACAAATGTTAGACCATTCGTTAGTTTCTTAAGTTCTCTCAATATAATATCTTTACATCTACTCTTATTTCCAAAGAACGGTAACGGCGGTTTTGTAAAATTCATTTATATATAATAATAAAAATGTTTTTACCCGAAAAGTGACAAAACATGAAAACATATATAATTTGTGAAAAGTGACACTATTAATATGATGTAAATAACAACGGTTTTGGTTTTGTCACCGGCTGGTCGGCTGGGGTTCGGTCCTCCTCTTGGGTCTTGGGCAAAATTTCTTATGGGCTAGAGGGCGCAACGCGCCTGGAAGCCCCACTCACCTGACCTTAATTAATAAAAAAACGAATTCATCCATGTAAACTATTCATAGAAATGACAAAAAATCTAAGCGGCATTTAAATTCCATGTATCTATATGAATTCATTAATAATAAAACAAAATAAATGCACGTTACGCTATCGGTAAAAAATGTTCAAAGAAAGATACCGTAATTCATCATTACTTCTTAAATTTGGATTATGCATGTACTTTCAAGGATATTTATCTTAGCAATAAACAATGGCAATTAATTCAGAGAATTGACCGTTTCAAAATCTTGATTGGTGTTTTATCCAATGACATATTTTCTTTGGACAGATGGGTATGATTATTTCCCAAAATAAAATGCTTTAATTCTTCTCTTTTGAATTCATATAATGCAAGAGTTGAAATTAACTATTTACTCTTCTTTATAATGGATATATTATCAATGATTAATCTATTTCTTAAAGTTTCTTCATTACAATATCAAATTCTCTTGAATTGACCTGTAAGTATTGGTAAGTTAATTCGATTGAATTGCTGCATATGTATTCGTAGCTATGATAAATACATGCGTGGGTATTGAATCAGTGATTTCGGTACACATGTTTTCAAATTTGAATCAAACATTGATTACATATGTACCGAATTAGTAATTCTCTTGATCTCGTGTTATACAATTAGTTTTTCACTACGTATACGAGTTATTCTTTGGCAGTTGGCATTTTAATTACAAAATGACTCATATTTGATCTTTGGTTGCAAAAAATCTAAAAATTGTTCATTAACTGATTAATTATAAATGATATTTTAATATTAAAAAAATTGATAAAATTTCTAACAAATAACATTACTTATTGAAGCATTTCTTAATAAGGTTTTTCATTTCTAAGCTATTAGAGTTAGCAATGAGCTGTTCCATCTTATACTTTTTAATAATTTTTTCTTGTTGAAGAGCCCATTCAACAATTGAGAATTTGTTTGATTGTATAAGCTCAATGATGTAATCTCTTCCTACTTTATCGAAGAAAACCGCCACATCGTCAGATAATAACAATTCTTTTGCGCATTCATCAGGAATGTTATCATTTGGAGAGTTTAAAGCCGGATCACAGAATGATGCATTCTGGTCAACGTCAATTTCTCGTTTGTTCAAAAGCATCTTCAAAGTATCAAGATTCTTCTCATTTGTAATTGCTGGAGTAGCTTTATTAGATATTTGCTCTATAATTGGATTCTTCTTTTGGTTTATATCAGAGTTGAATACTGCAATTTGTCTGTATTGGAAGTAATTTCCTAATGAAGAATTATAACGAGAAAGAAGTTCCATTGCGCATCTGGAAGATTGCATTATATAAAGAGATGATGTTTCTGTGTTTAATAAGTCTTCTCTGATAAGTTTTCTGAACATGATCTCGTTATCATTTAAAACTAAGAAAGTAATCAAGTTTTCTTGGGTTTCCTTCTCAATGGTTGACCTTGTACGAAGCCAATCGAACTCTATGACCCTGTTATAGGCCGCTGCCATGATCAGAGGATATCTTAAAGCATCATCGTTATCTTGAAGTATTGTATGGAGGATTTTGATGTTATTTCCAGCAATTGCAAATTCTGCAGGTCCAGGATGATCACGAATGAACGCAAAATTGGATTGATAGCGTTGGAAAAAGATTTTGAAAATTTTATTCGAGTAAGAATATAGATATTCCTTATCTGGTATATCCTGGTTCTTACTCATCCTTGCCATGGCTGCAAGAGCTACTGGACCTGGTCTAAATTGGCCAGCTTGGATGTCATTTTGCGTAATTATACTTGCGCCCGTAAGTTGTAAGTATCTGAAGCATTTTTCAGCTCCATAAAATGCAGCAGCTGAAATAAGCGGAACTTCTCTGTATCTGATCAGATCTAATTCCCAAATTGGGACTTCGTAATTTCTGTTGACATCAAAGTTAGGGCTTGATGCTTGCTTTTGAAGATATGATACGTCATCGTACTTGAAGCAGTAGTAATCTGTAAATGGATTTAATCCTTCAGTATTTATGTCGTGAGAGATTTGGAAATTGTTTTTGAATATGGAGTGAACTGGGTATCCTCTTCTTTCAAGTCTTTTAAGGATTTTTGAAGTGACTTTTCGATTAAATTGGTTCAAAATATCTCCACACCAAAAAAGAACTTGTATTATATACATCTCGTTACGTTGAGTTGTTGTTACTTCCTCTTTGTTCAAGAATTCCATGAATGCATCAAGAACATATTGCTGGGATATAAAATTATTTCGACAAAGTAATCCAGAGAATGTTGATACACGGTAGTATCCGGATGTTTCGAAGAAACTTTCTCGAAATGTAGTCTGTAATGCATTTTTGAGAGAATCTTTATTTTGTTGAGAAATATTTGCGAAAATATCCCTAATAAGTTCAATAAGTTCGAATGATTGTTGATGGCATATATCACAAGCGATCTGTAAATGATGTGCGAAGTTAATAAAGTCTTCATCTTTGAGAAATTGATAGAAAGTAATAATTTTTTCTATGATAGACTTTTCCTTGCTCTTGTAGTTAGTAAAAACAGTAATCATTTCTTGTTCTTCATCAGTTTCTCGTCTTTGAAGAACCATTTGTAAAAAAAATTAAAAATTTGACATGTAAACTAGTTTACATTCGATTTTTAAAATTCAATAAAAAAGTGACGATTGGTCCGCCTTTCCGATGCCAGTCAAGAGAAGGAATCATGGCCGTTCCAAGATGAACCGTGGCCACACAAGAACAGTTAACTGCATGAACTGCGGCCGCCAAGTTCCAAAGGATAAGGCTATCACACGTTTTGCAATCAAGAATATGGTCGATGCTTCATCAGCTAAGGATGTTTCCGATGCCTGCATTTATCAGGGCTACGAGCTTCCAAAGACATACCAGAAGCAGTACTACTGCGTTTCATGCGCTGTCCATCGCCACGTTGTCCGCCCACGTAACGTCAACGTTCGCCGCAACCGTGTTCCACTCTTCCTTAAGCTTCGTCTTGAGAAGCTCGAGCAGCGCAACGCTCAACGCCTTTCCAAGGAGTAAATCTTATTTTTAATTGAAAAAATGATCCCTGAAATCAAACCATTACGTATTTCAAATCAAATAATATTTTTAATCTACTCTTTACATGAAATCTTAAATCTAAATTAAATATCATAATCATATCAAGTGAATCTGAGCTTATTCTTTGAACAATATATTTAAGATCTTCATATCTTGAGTTTTTGTATGCGTTAAGAGTGTTTATGATGTCATTTTTATAATTGCTTTTTGATCAAAAATCATTTTGATCAAATGGACCACAAAATTATAGATGCTTATCATGAAGTTTTGAATAGTATGTTAGGGAAATATCTAATCAATGCTTTAAAATCATGTAAAAGTCAAGTAATTTTTAAAATGTTCAACCAAATTGATTCAAATTTACAATCTGGAATTTATCGGACCAGAATTGCGTTTCTTGAGGATCTAAAGCATACATGCGAATATGTATCACGAATATTTGGTGTGGATTCGGAAATAGGTCTCGGTTTTCTTACAATACATCAATTAACAGATGAAAGAACTGCTCAGGCAATATTATCGCAAACATTAGATGAATACAAGAAGAGGATTGTTCCTATTATTGCAGAATTAGAACTAAATATCGAAAAACTTCCATCAAACTACGATGAATTTGTTAAACTGATGGTTACTAGAAGAAAAAACGAAAAGCCTATTATACAATTCCAAAAAGATAACGAGTTTCCAGCTACAGAAATAAATCTTACAAGGTTGCAGAATTTAATCCTCAAACTTCCAAATGACTTTGATGTAGGTGACATTATTGAAGTTGTAGTTACATATGAAGTAGATCCTTATGAAGATGAAACACGAAAAAGTTTCAAACTTAATCTCAACAAATGCCAGCCAGAAATGCTCAAATTACTATGGCATAATCTTTTATCGAAAGGATACATTAGTAATAACTAGTATTTATGCATAATTATTAGAAAATTATCATTTATGGGCAAAAAATCAATTTGGATTATGGTATCAAAGGTATTTCGGAATTTTGTTCCATTTGTCCTTTGAAGCTCTGTTATTTTTATGAAAAATGGTAATAAATTTCAAAATTGTATTGATTTTGTGAGAGCAAACAATACTTGATTGATTTTAATACTTTATGACTAATAGATCAAGAATTCAAGAAAACTACAAGGGTAATTTCGATTTGATATTATTAAAATTTATTGTTTGACCTGTTTATAAACATATGTGTACTATCAATCGTTTTTACAGCATAGATTTTGTATTATTGTATGTTCTGTGAAAATATCAAGAATTTTTTACTCATGTTACGATATAGAAAGTAAATTGATTTAAACTTGAAATTATATTCGCATGTAGATACTTCAAATTTAATTAATTTATTTCAAATGCACTCTAAGCGAAGAACAATTTCATGTTTACGTATCGTTGCAATTATACTTTAAAATTTTTTGAAGTCACTTTTATAAGTATTTATGAATGGCTGTCATCCAAATGAAGAAGTACAAATTATGGAAGATCCAGAGTATGAATATTATGATTTAGTTTGTCATAGTAGATATAATCAATTCGAGATTTTCATTCCAGATTTCGTTCTTGATTATCTTAAAACTGTTGAATATCCTAAATGCTATAAATATAGAGGACTTTCTGCTCATTCTTATTCACCTTATTTAGTTCCATTTACCAAAGGAATTGATCTTACAGACGAAGATTTTGATTCATTGGCAAGAATTAGTATTCATACATTTCTAAATGAATACAATGTTAATAACCCTATACTTCGCCTTGAACAATTATGCAGTATCAGTGTTGAAATCGAATTTTTTGTTTTGCCTTTTCTATCAAAACCAAGCGTAAATGCTCCGAAGGATATTATTAAATTCATGGAAATTTTTTCAAAACAAGCACGTGTCAAAGAAGATTTTCAATATTATTTCGCAAATCCATACATCGATAAAATAGAACCAAAAATTAATGGTCGACGCGCAAGATGTTTACCTCTATACGATTACTCCCAACTCGAAACAGATAATCCTTTCAAAAAGGTTCTTGATTATCGTAAGAGTTTTCATTTAGAAGACAAACCAGATTATTATGTAAATGATGAATCTAACATTCAATTAGATTCTCAAGTTCAAGATGAATTCAACAAACTAACAGATTCATCAGGAAAATCTAAAGACAACAAGCAATCCAATCCCCCAGGAAAAGATGAATCCAACAATCAATTAGATTCTAAAGTTAAATATGAATCCAATAAACCATTAGATTTAACAGGAAAATCTAAAGACAACAAACCAACAGATTTTACACAAAAGACTCAATGTATTGAGCCAATCACCATAAAAACTAATTATCAAACTAACAAAACAGTTCGTTCCATAAGGAAAGATCAAAGCACAGACTCAATCGATCGACATCAAAATCATTTCTGCAACATTGCTTGACAACGAAATCTCTATCTTTGATGAAAAAAACTTTTTCAAAAGCTTCTAATATCCAATGTCTTACTACCTCGTTTATTTTTAATCAAAAATAAAATTTTCAGGCACATTCACTCTAAAATTACGAAAATAGCAAACATTATCTATCAGTATTGTATTTTTGGATGTAATGCATGAATTTTAGTTGAGCGCAAAGGTTTGGAATGACATAATAATGATAATAAAGTTGAAACATCAAATCAATTTTAAATTAACAAGCATATTCGAAATAGTTAAACAAATTTTTGTGATCTATAGTGTGAAGATATAAACTTTACATGATTCTTCATTTTAATTAATTAATTAATTATTTAATTAATTTCTGGCCTTAGTTGGCTGCGCTTGTCTGAAGGTCTTGTATCCAATATTCGGCAAAATAAACATATATTGCTTATAAGAAATATGTTTATTCAAATAAATTTGAGTGCGATTGATAAATATTCGATTTCAAAGATTATTATGTAAAATATAAGATATAATTTAGTATCAGAGAATTAATTTAGAGAATACTTTTAGATATTAGAGAATTTTCGAAATAAATTAAATCAAAGCAGTTATTATGAATTTTTTAGAGCTTGTATATATTGCAATAAGATATTAGATCAGAGATATACTTGGCAGGATTGGAATTGAAGTCTGGTTTATCAATGAAGAATTTGTAATAAGAAAAGGCAATTCTCATCAAAACTCACATAGTGAATTCATATTCCTTATGTATTATTGTAACAAAAGTTGCAGCCAAATAATGAAGAATAATATTATATTTTCAAAATTATTTAATTTACGTATCGTTTCAATTATACTTTAAAATTTTTTGAAGTCACTTTTATAAGTATTTATGAATGGCTGTCATCCAAATGAAGAAGAACAAATTATGGAAGATCCAGAGTATGAATATTATGATTTAGTTTGTCATAGTAGATATAATCAATTCGAGATTTTCATTCCAGATTTTGTTCTTGATTATCTTAAAACTGTCGAATATCCTAAATGCTATAAATATAGAGGACTTTCTGCTCATTCTTATTCACCTTATTTAGTTCCATTTACCAAAGGAATTGATCTTACAGAAGAAGATCTTGATTCATTGACAAGAATTAGTATTCATACATTTCTAAATGAATACAATGTTAATGACCCTATATTTTTCCTTGAAGAATTATGCAGTATCAGTGTTGAAATCGATTTTTTTGTTTTGCCTTTTCTTTCAAAACCAAGCGTAAATGCTCCGAATGATATTATTAAATTCATGGAAATTTTTTCAAAACAAGCACGTGTCAAAGAAGATTTTCAATATTATTTCGCGTTTCCATACGACTATGAATCAGAAACAAATACTAAAGATCGATGCAAAGTACTTCCACTTCGATACGATTACTCTCAACTCGAAATAGATAATCCTTTCAAAAAGGTTCTTGATTGTCTTAAAATTATTCATCATGACAACAAACCAGATTCTCAAGTAAATGATGAATCCAACAATCAATCAGATTCTCAAGTAAGAGATGAATCCAATAAACAATTAGATTCTCAAGTAAGAGATGAATCCAATAAAACATTAGATTCATCAGGAAAATCTAAAGATCAAGGCACAGACTCAATCTATCGACATCAAAATCATTTCTGCAACATTACCTGACAACGAAATCTCTAACTTTTGATGAAAAAAAGCTTTTTTAAAAGCTTTTAACGCTTATTGCCAATAAATTCCAACTAACATAGACTTTTTCAACTTAAAACTTCCTAAATTATATAAATATATCTATATCAATATAAAGCAAATTCATATAAAGGTTATCGTTGATTGAGGGTGTTTATAAATATTCAATCATTTCATGAAACTGTTGATCAAATACCAACAAAAGTATTCGCATGATTCTTTATAAACTTCAGGTAATGAAGCCTTTCCAAAGTTATCAGAAGCTTCATTAGAGAAAATTCAATTACTTTCTTCACAAGATAAGTACTGCATAATCAAGTTCCTTGTCTTCATAACAACATATGTAGATTGTTTGCCATGTCATATTCATGTGTGAAAATGCTCAAAAATCTTCTAAAATCTGTCACTTTTTCAAGAATTATAGGACAATTTTATTTTGAATAAAAATTTTATTTATACTGAAAATTAGAATTTTATTGTGTTATTGATTTATGGATTTTGTCACTTTTCTCAAAAAATGCTCTCAGCAGGATTGAAATTTAAGGGTGAAGCAAACAAGAGAGCAATGGCAATGCTCAACAAAAAGGAAGACAAAGATGAAACCGTTCTTGGTCAGCTGACTGATTATTCCGTTCTTGACGAATACAAAGTTTCAGCAGAAGGTGATGCCCCACCTGAGCCAATAACAGATTGGACATCATTTAGTTCTGAAATCCAAGAGTCTCTCAAAGCTTGTGGTTATGAAAAGCCAACACCAATCCAAAAATACGCAATTTCATGTTTTAGAAATAACCGTCCATTGCTCGCAATTTCTCCTACAGGTAGTGGTAAAACACTTGGATATGCTCTTCCTCTTCTCGATGCCTTAAAAGACAACGACACCAAAGATTTACAAGCAGTAATTTTGGTTCCAACTCGTGAGCTTGCATCACAAGTATATCGTCAATTTAAGAAATTCAGTGGCCCACTTGAATCCAAAGTGCAACAATTGCGCAAGCACCGTGGTTTTCCAAAATGTCAAATTATTATCGCAACTCCAAAGCGTCTTACAGAATTTTCAAGCAAACTATCAACAGTTAAGTATCTTGTTCTTGATGAAGCTGATTATCTTCTTTCACATAGCTTTGTTAAGCAAACAGACGATGTTTTACAAAATCTTCCAAAAGAAGGTGTTTATTATTCATTGTTTACAGCCACAATGACACCCAAAGTTGAAGAGACTGCGAGATCCTTCATGTTCAACCCAGTTCGCATACAAGTTGGTGACAAACATGCAATTGCCGCGAATATCGACCAAGAACTCAAATTTGTCGGAACAGAGAAAGGCAAAGTTGTTGAGCTCAAGCAGCGCATACAATCAGGCACCATTGGCCTTCCCTGCATCATTTTTGTCATGAACAGACAACGCGCTTATGATTTAAGCCAAGAATTAGGATATCCTAGTGCTGTTTTGACTTCTGATGAGAACGACACAGAAAGAGCATCCGCAATCAGACGTATTCGCACAGGAGAAGTCCAGTTCTTGATAACAACAGACTTAGGTGGACGTGGAATTGATTTGGCTGCATTAAAAACAGTTGTTAACTTCGACATGCCTGCAGACACTACGACATACATTCACAGGATAGGAAGAACAGCTCGTGCAGGAAGAGCTGGAAAGGCAATCACGCTGTTCACTGAGGATGATATGCCAAACATGAGACCAGTCGCAATTGTCATGAAAAGCCATGGATACGATGTTGACGAGTACATGTTGAAGCCTGTTGATAAGAAACATCGAGGTGCAAGAGCTCTCTTCGAACCACAGCAGAGAAAAGCTATCTCTTCAAAGGTTTGGAGTAAGGCAAAGGTAAGAGTTCCAAAAGGAAATCCTCAACAACAAGATGCAGAATAATTTATGTTTTATTTATAGAGTTTTATTTATTGTGATTTTTTTAAAAAATATATTAAAAGTATTTTATTTAATTATATATATGATAATAAAGAAAGGGATCAATTATTGGTTTTTAGATGATGATGTGAAGCTGATGAAAATTAATTAACACCACAGTTATTGAAGATAATTAAGAGGATTAGGATTCTTTTTGCAGCACTTAAGAACGTTAATCATATATTCAAATGAATCAAAGTAGGTAACAAAAGTGCAAACTCTATAGTAATTTTGATTACGCAAAATATTTAATCTTTTGGAACCATTCAATACGTTAGAAAAGATAAAATGAATAAATATGATGAATGTCAGTATTTTATGATGATGCAAAAACAATATTTATAGGTAATATTTGCTATTTTCGTAATTTTAGAGTGAATGTACCTGAAAATTTTATTTTCGCTTAAAAATGAACGAGAAAGTAAGACATTGGATATTTGAAGCTTTTGAAAAAGCTCTTTTAATCAAAAGTGAGAGATTTCGCTGTCAGATAATGTTGCAGAAATGATTTTGATGTCGATCGATTGAGTCTGTGCCTTGATCTTTCCTTCTGGAGTGAATTATTTTGTTAGTTTGATAATTGGTTTTTTTGGAAGATTGGGTCTGTTCCTTGATCTTTCCTTATGGAATAAACTGATTTGTTAGTTTGATAATTAGTTTTTTTTATTTTTTTTTTCGTGATTGATTCAATACATTGAGTCTTTTGTGTAGAATTTGTTGATTTGTTGTCTTTAGATTTTCCTGTTAAATCTAATGTTTTATTGGATTCATCATTTATTTGAGAATCTGGTTTGTTGTCTAGTTGAATAATTTTAAGATAAACAAGAACCTTTTTGAAAGGATTATCTGTTTCGAGTTGAGAGTAATCGTAGAAAAGTGGAAGTACTTTGCATCGATCTTTAGTATTTGTTTCTGATTCATAGTCGTATGGAAACGCGAAATAATATTGAAAATCTTCTTTGATACGTGCTTGTTTTGAAAAAATTTCCATGAATTTAATAATATCATTCGGAGCATTTACGCTTGGTTTTGAAAGAAAAGGCAAAACAAAAAAATCGATTTCAACACTGATACTGCATAATTGTTCAAGGAAAAATATAGGGTCATTAACATCGTAATCTTTTAGAAATGTACGAATACTGATTCTTGCTAATGAATCAAGATCTTCTTCTGTAAGATCAATTCCTTTGGTAAATGGAACTAAGCAAGGTGAATAAGAATAAATAGAGAGTCCTCTATATTTATAGCATTTAGGATATTCAATAGTTTTAAGATAATCAAGAACGAAATCTGGAACGAAAATCTCGAATTGATTATATCTACTAGGATAAACTAAATCATAATATTCATACTCTGGATCTTCCATAATTTGTTCTTCTTCATTTGGATGACAGCCATTCATAAATACTTATAAAAGTGACTTCAAAAAATTTTAAAGTATAATTGAAACGATACGTAAATTAAATAATTTTGAAAATATAATATTATTCTTCATTATTTGGCTGCAACTTTTGTTACAATAATACATAAGGAATATGAATTCACTATGTGAGTTTTGATGAGAATTGCCTTTTCTTATTACAAATTCTTCATTGATAAACCAGACTTCAATTCCAATCCTGCCAAGTATATTTCTGACTTAATGACTTATACAAGGGTATAATTGAAACGATACGTAATATTAAATCATATTCTTCGCTTCTTTCTCTCAAAATTTGAGTGAATTGAAAGATTAAGCAAAGCTCCTTTATCTTCTCCTTCTTTTCTTCCTCTTATACCTCTTTGTCTCTTTCTTCTTAGGCCCTTCTCTCTCAATTTATTTTGTGTTACTCTTTCGATTTCTTCTCTGATTTGTTCTACTTTTCTCCAGCAAGGAGGTTTTTCAGCCTGTTCCTCCATACCTCATAATCTGTCATAGCTTTCATTACGAAATGTTAAATGTCAGAAAACTTCAGGCAGATATCAACTAGCATCGGTCTGATATATACTATATTAAAGCCAATGAGTATCCGCCTTTCATCTAAGATGTTATTCAGCTTAATTTAAATTTAAAAATAAGTATTATAACTAGTTAATAAAAAAACTATCCAATTTATAAACTTTTATTAAATAAATAAGTAATTAAAACACGGTAAGATCAGGGATATGAGCGAAGTCCGCTAAAAATTGAGCCGGAGTTGTATTTGCGGCCTCAGCGAGCTTCTTAAGATTCTCTTGATTTGCGAAATCATCTTTCACAAGGTAAGTCATCAAAGCATGGCTCTTCTTGTACTCATTTGTAGTTGTATCGACGTATCTAGGTTCAATTTCACCTGTATTGTGGTTAATGAGTGATTTGAATGATCTGAAGAAGATACTTCCGTTGTACCAATGGCAAATACAGTTAGAATGTCCATCCAAAAAGCCATTTATGGCTCCAACACCGAGTTCGCGGGCGTAAATAGCATCGAATGAAAGAGGCTTGCATCCACGAAGTTCGTAACCTATCTTCTTCGAGTTAATTCTAATATCGATTTTATGAGTTTCAAATCTTTCACGAATTTCATGAGCGACAGCTCTGCACAACTCTATGTCGCTTGTTTCGTGTTCGTATGAGTGGAAATTGTTTGCTCTTGCATCTTTTGGTATTTTATAGTACAATCCTTCGCAAAGAAGCACGCATCCGTAGTTAATTCCCTGGGCTTTCTTCTTAAGAATGCATCCCTCGACGATATCGCAGATATCTGATAGCGAAATCTCCTTTGTTGGGAAATCTTCTGGAATTAAGGTCAAATCTACGCCAGAAGCCTCTCCGATGGAGTACGCGAGGTGGCCGGTTTCCTTGCCCATTGTTTCGATGATGTACCATTGTGGTTCGCTCTGTGCGTCGATACATAAATTTTTGCAAAGTTTTGCACCGAAAGCTCTGGCTGTTTGGAATCCGAGAGATGTCTGTTCGGGCGGGAGTTGTACATCGTTTGAAATTGTTTTCGGAACTGCAATTACTTGCATTATCGTTGGATCGATGCCTTGAGAAATGTAATGGCACATTCTCAGCTTCGCGTTGCCTCCGATACTGAGTAAGTATCTTACTTTAAAATGTCTGAGCATTTTGTACGAATTGGAAATGGCTGCTGGGTTTTTGCTGATATCTGTTCGATCTGTTTTTACGACACTGCCACCGAGTGCTGCTTTCTTGAGAATGATTTCTTCTGTGATTTCAACCATGTGCTGAGCAACAATTTCAGGGTCGCCTGTAGAAAGATATTTGTATCCTTCTTGAAAACCAATTACTTTCCAATGAAGACGGAGAGCATATTCAGCTGCTGCTGAGATAAGTCCGTTCAAACCTGGTGCAGTGCCGCCAGCAACGACAATACCAAGAATCTCAGGTTCTCCCATTTCAATTGATTGTAAATTATAATCGTATTGTTGGGGCATTTTCTTAGGAGAGGGTAAATTTGAATACCATTCAAAAGTAAAAATTCACAATTTGTTCGATTTGGACATATAATCTATTATTATATATAATGTAATTAAGAAAAAAAAATAAAATGACCTGCATATATTAATTATTTAGATTGCAAGATTCAAAAAAGCTATTAAAATTAGAGACTAAATAAATAGCGAATTGATTCATATGGATTTATGTAATTGTGAACATTAAAAGAGTTTATTTATTGATCTAATAAAAAAAGATAAAATATTAATGAGAAAATTGAAAGAATAGAGTGTCCCATTCACTCGTGTTGGTCGCAATGTATCATTCTGGGAGACATTGCCTCTGCATGTCTCCCACAATGGCACAATGTTCCTTGGAGAAAGACCTGGAAGGGGGTCCTTTCTCAAAGTCAGGGCCCCCTTCTAGTCTTTCTGGTCCTGGAAGGAGCGCTTCTGACTGGTCTGTGCGCTGCTTCCAGGAAGATCAGGAGATTGCTCGAAGTTCGCGGCAAGTGCATTCCGACACCACAGATGCACTTGCCGCAACATATAATTGCGAGTATCTGCTGCTTTGGTCAAAAGAAGCAGCAGACACTCGCAATGCGAACCGAATTGTCCCAGAAAGACCTGGAAGGGGGTCCTTTCTCAAAGTCAGGGCCCCCTTCTAGTCTTTCTGGTCCTGGAAGGAGCGCTTCTGACTGGTCTGTGCGCTGCTTCCAGGAAGAACATGAGATTGCGCCAATAAGCTCCTATCAACAAATTTTGACTAAAAATATAAAGTATCCTTTTGTGATTTAACGAATAGCTCAATTTTAAAATAGATTTGATTCTAATAATAAATTGAATGAGTTTCGCTTACGTTTAGAATTTAATGATTTATATGATTTTTTCGTTCACAGAAGAGTCATTGATATACAATATCAAAAAAACAGCAAAGACACACCATAATAAATGATATTGAAGCTAAATATTACATATTTCAACATATCTAAAAAATTATTATAAGATTAGATCTCATGCAATGCCGAGCAGTTTCCTAAAGCATAATTACTTATTTATACAGAATCAATTATATAATATTCACATTGCAAATTATATACATTCTCACAAAGCAACATGAAATAGACTGTCCGAATTTGAATTCAAATAGAGATCTACTTCAAAAGGATTTCTTACAATATGTAATCTCGATGTTGATCACTGGAATACAAGGGATGCACGTAATTTACAAATTGTTGCAAAAATAGTAGTGCAACAAAAATTTTATTTTTAGCTTGTCACTTGATATATAACAATTGCAAAAACTCAATCAAAAATAGGATTTGAACAACTTTTTAAAATTGTGATAAAAATTCTATCGGCACATTCTATTCAATTTTAAAGTATTTCTTTCATATTTCAATCGATTATTCAATATTTGCCAATCACAAATTTTAGTTCAAAATTCAAAAAATCCCTAATTTTAATTTCAGATGAAATCTCGCAAAAATAACATTGTTTTAACCATATAAATATATATTTTATATATTGTATAGTGATTTTTTAATATTTTTATGAGTAAAATCGAGAGTGAGGAAATGTGGACTACAAAAAACGATAGAAATGAATAGTTTACATGGGAATTCAATACTTACAAGTATTCAATGTCACTTTTGTGCTCGAGATTTTGATTCTAGTATATTTTTTTTACCGTGAAAGATTTAGCCAAACACATTTCGTAGTATTTATCAAACAATGGCTAGACAACTAGTATTTTTATTGTATGATTAACCTTCCAATCTTGTTTTATAAAGGGTTCAATATAATCGCAAGAGAAATAAAAGCGATATTGGATCATCTCTGTATATTCATTATTAATATTTCTGGATTGTCTAATTGTTTTGCTGACCTATTTTTAATAATCTTTAAATCTAAAAGATATAAAGATCAACATTTCAAAATGACTGACCAAAACATTGCAACCTCATTATGAAAATCATAGACACATATCGTTTTTTGTTTTCTTTAATTATTTTAATATATTATAAAATAAAGTTAGTAATTTTCTGTTTAGTGCAGCAAATTATTATTTTGTTTGCTTATTCTTAATTTCAAAAAAAATAAATATTAATATTAGATTGAATATAAACTATTATAGAATTATTTTTTCTATTTATTCCTAATATGAAAATATTTCCTTTTTTTCAACTTAAAATAAAACAATAAAAAATAAGTACGATTACTTCTTCATGTAATTGCAAGACTGTCTCATTGATGCTTCCAAGCCTTCGATGCCACCTACAGATCTGAGCATATCCTTATCCATTGACTTAGCCATCTTCAGCACCTGTTCTTTGAACTGTCTTTCGTTTGCGAAAGTTGGCATTTCTTCCTGTGCCATGAGAGCCAATGTCTTCTTGTCCATCCTCTTGAACATCTTCTCCCACCTCTTCTGTTCATCAATGACATATTGTACAAAGGTAGGAGGCATTCCGGATCCTGATGCAACTCTCATTTTGCGGCTATCGTCTTTGAAAAGTGACGGATTTTCAAGTTCAGAAGTAGACATAGCATCTATAGTTATTAGGATTCTTCTGACCTGTTCCTTTGTTGCCTCTGGATTTCCTTTCGTTCCAGGCGCGTATCCGTTTGCGATACTTATTGATTCCATCATAGAATTGAAGTTTCCGACTTCTAAAATTGTTTGGTACTGCGCGTAAAGATCTTTGAAGTTGAACTGTCCGGCAAGGATGTGCTGACCAATTTCGCGGTTCCTGTCCTTGTCAATCTCTTCTAATGTGCGCTGGAAGATCGTGGGATCGGCAATTCCTAATAAACGTGACACAAATGAAGAAGGATCGAACCACTCGAGATCTGTGAAGTTTTCACCACTACCGATGAAGGAGATGGGTGATTGAGTGGCTGCAACTGCGGAAAGGGCACCACCACCTTTGGCATTTGAATCTAATTTTGTAATGATAATTGAACCGACGCCGACAGCGTTCTTGAAGCCAAGAGCTTGATCGTAGGCTGCTTGACCAATGGTACCGTCCATAACGAAGATGATTTCATCAGGAACAACGTTTTCGGCCAAAGATTTCATTTCTGCAAAAAGAGCTTCTTCTTGCATGTGACGGCCGGATGTATCGATGATGGCTATCTCGAACTTCTCCTTCTTGAACTTGTCAATACCTTTGAGAGCTACTTGGACTGGATCTGATTCTGTAAAATCAACGAAATAAGGAATGCGTGCGGTCTGAGCGTTCTGCATAAGCTGCTCACGAGCACCTGCACGGAAGGTATCTGCGGCAATAACGCCGGTTTTCCAGTTTCTACGCTTATAATAATTTGCTAATTTTGTAACTGTAGTTGTTTTACCTGCACCTTGAAGACCGACCATCATAAAGATGTTCAATTTCTTTTTGATTGGTTTGTATGCCGTCATTCCTGGGTTGATAAGCGTAACAAGTTCATTAAAGACTGCTTTTTCAATAACACGCTTAGCTGAAAGACCTGGTGGGATCTCGTTGAAGTTGATCTTCTCACGAAGGCGCTTAGAAAATGAAAATACAATTTCTTTTGACACATCTGCCGCAATTAAGCTTTTAGAGATTTCTATCATGAAATTTCGATAGACAGTCTCATCTATCTTCTTGGATTCTGAAAGTTTTTTGATGCTGCCAATGAGTTTGTCACCTAAATCTTGCAGCATTTAATCGAAATCAAATATTTCCTTTTTTTGTCTGTCAGCCAAATAATTGAATCAAAAACGATTAACATGAAATCAGCCGGTACCAATACTTCACTTTACCTCATTATTAATCAGATCTCGATTTCATTTTGCTGTTTTTAGAAAGGTTGTTGTGTCGTTCTGTTATTTATCCCGTTCATAGATAAGGTTATTTAATTTGAATTAGAACAAATAGTGTTTTCATAAGAATTCCCTTCCTTAAATGTATGCACTGTTTAGATGCTAGGCTAATGGCTTGCTCTATTTTAGATAAATATTGACTAATTTATGAAATTGGTGAATGCAATCTATTAAATTTAGACTTATAATAAAAATTTTAGCTGGACAATATCATAAATTTCTATTGTGATTGTGATATTAATGTGTTTTTATATGTATTTTATATAATATCCAAATAAGATATCAATATTGAAAGGAATATAAATCGAGTAATCAAAAATCTAATAGCAAATCGTTAAAAATCCAATAAATAATATTTATATATATAAAAACCAATAAAATACAAAATTCTAATTTTCATGAAGTTGGTAAATAACCCACTTCTCATTTTCATACACATTCTGGTAATGCTTTGAGTCCCAGAGGATTTCATCGTTCTTATAGTCGAGTAGCCATCGAATATCTTGACTTCTCATTACATCAAGACCTCCAGACTCTTTTCTGACCTCTCTGATCAATTCCACTTGCTTGAATACATCGCAACCGCGTCTCCATGCTTCACGGAAACTTCCAGAAACGATTTGGCGACCGGCAATTGAAGATGCAGGGTTAAATTTGAATGTATCGCTAAGAATTGTGTCCTTTGGTCTGGTGATCTCCATAATCTTACGGCCAATGTCTAGATCTGGTATTTCAATTGCAGTATCTTTAGTATTTGCAAGTCTATGAAGGCTGAGGAAGCCACTGATCATATAGACAACAAATATTGAGGCAACTATACCTGATACCGCGCCTTTAGTCATCTTTCCTGAAACTAATGATTTTATTTTCTCTCCAATTTCGACGAAAAGAACACAAACCATAGGGAAAAAGACAGATATAACCCCACAAGCGTTACTGGAATAGTCATTTCCTTGACGGAAGATTTGTAATAATAAAAATGAACCTAATGTTGAAATAAATCTCTGGATTAGTAAAGAATCGCGTATAAAGAACCACATTAAAGCAAATGTGACTGATGATGGCCCGAAACTATCGAACCAAATTGTTAAACTTGGAAGAAATGTGTCGCACATTTGATATTCACGCCATAACGGGTTATACTTTATACCAGATGATAACCAGCGTATGAATGGAACGAATGCAAATGCTATGAAATATGGATTTGCAAGTTCATAGCAAGTACATGCGAGATAAACTGATAATGACGTGATACAATTAGGTGTAAGTATTGCTAGTAGCACAGCAATGATGTAAGAGTTCTTGGCTCGTCCAACAACCGGACATTGTGCAATTGCTAAAGCAAATACGGCCATTGGTATGGAAAATGAGTATTCCTTGTTGAACGACAAGCAAACACCAATTAAAGAATCCCATGGAGTATGAGCAGTTCGTCCATGTCCATGAATTAAATCACCTCGGATATCTTCATCATTGAAAAAGTTGAAAAGGCACCAAGATCCGTTTAGCATGAACACTAAAGCGATGAATCCTGGGTTGCTCGAGAAGTTAGAGCCAAGGTAATAGATAGCCGTTGCAGTAGAAATTGCGTTCATGAAGGATATTATAGCTGATGCTGTCCGAAATGAGGCACCCATTGAACTTAGAGCAGCTTCGTAAAGTAAAGGAAGAGGATTGTTTGTTAAATGCTGATTTAGTAATAATGGATCAGCAAATGCTAAGATATTAGATCGTGGAGCATTAACTCCGTTTTTAAGTGATGCAACAAATGACATTTCATAATCTAATGGTCCAGATCCTTCAATAGGAACTAAACTAGGAAATTGGTCAAAAATTCTATGATTATACCAAATTGTAATGATTCCTATTATAATAAGAACCACATAAAATGATGGAGCAACTTCGAAACGAACTGTAAATGGTAATTTACTCGGACGTTGAATTTTATCTTTGCTTAAAACGATAAATAGGAAAACAGCAATGGCCATTTGAATACCAATTATGATAACGACATGAAATATGTTCATTGGGAGTACTACTGTCGTTACTAGCATTATTGCTGAAGTTAAGCTTGCACCAATAAGCCATCCTATGCATAAATGTAAGAATAAAGCCCAAGTATACTTTCTAATATAAAGAATGATCATTGATCCCATCGCCACCGTTGAGGCGAGGAATGCAATCCATAGTACCATTCTGTCAATTTTTTATTTCATATTAATATTAGTATTAGATTCATATCTCAAATGTAAATAAAAAATATGAATTTTTTACTTGCCATTCTACAATCGAAGCAGTTTATTCTTCATGTGTTAAATAAGATCAATATAAATGTTGAGTTTGTGAATGGATGCATGTGATCTATCACGTTCAGAAGAACGAGCTTCTGAAACAACTATTTAAATCCATCGATCATAAAATTCAATTTCATAAATGATTATAATTAGATATGTATTTAAAAACAAGACTTTATTAAATTGACAAGTAATAAACATTGATAAAAAGGATTAGTTGCTTGGAGGTAATTTAGGAATTGTAATTTCTCTCCAAATTGCATCAAGACATTCTCTTTTGAGGGAATCCAAGTTAATTGTACTTTTGCCTTTCTTAATTAAACTCTCATAACCGTATTGACGTAAAATTTCTTCGATATTAGTTGAATCATTAATTTGACTAAGTTTTTCTTCAAGTTGAAGCAAGTCATACTTCTGGGCATATGTTTTATCTAATTCTACTGAGTAAAGTTTTTCTGAATTTTCAATAAGTTGTCTATAGAGTGATCGAAGGCGTTCTTCATAGTTCTGTTTGTTTGTATATTCGAATGTCTTTAATAATTTTTCGAATTTGTTCTTTAAATAGGCTGCTATTCCGCCAATTAAACTTTTTTCTCCGTTATATTGAACTGCATTATTGAAAATAAGATTCATATCGTATTTCCAGTCGGCAATTGTTGTATATGAGTTATCTTTTATCTTGGATTTAACTGTTCCAAGATCCATTGGTTCTTTAATTACAGCTAAATATGGATCTGTTGGCGATGTAGCAACGGGGCGTTTGAAAATCTCTGCAATTTGATTCTCTAAAATTGCATTGGTCACTTTCAAACAAAATTGTCCAGCAGATGATTTTGCAAACATTCAAAAATTTAACTTAATAAAGATGTTATCCGATTATTTATGTTGTTTTGTTGCTATATAAATTACTTTTAATGCTTCTTTTTCAGCAAATGATTGAGATTAACGTTTCTGGCCAATTTATAGTATTTATATTAGAAATTTAGTGTTTTTTCGATAAAGAGATAAGAATCCTATATAGATGGCATGATTCAGTGATAATATTGATTACATATACAAAATAAAATACTTTTCATAGCACAAGATGTATCTCATTTGATAAGCCTGATCTGAAATAAAATAGTGAAAAGCTACTAATGAACTTAAGTCGAATATAAAAAAAAAAGATAACAAATATGAAAATTTTTATACAAACAAAGATAAGGATGATAGATGTTACGTGGATTCAAATTGTTCTTATGTCTTTTTGGCATTCTTTTGATCAATTAATTTGACCAAAGCATCCCAAGATGCACCTCTGCAATCACTTGTGAAATAAGCGACAAATGGAGCTGTAGCAACAATGGTAATCATTCTGAATATGGATAAAGGTCTATAAATTGAGTAAAGTTCTTTCGCAATTGTATTCAAAGCTATTGTTGTCTTGTACCAGTAATCATTGGTCCAATTGAGTTTTGTAACCATCAACGACATAGGAAGGGAGTATGTGGTTGAAAACATATTAACAAGTAATAGAAAAGAGCAGGCCCATAAAACATATTTTGAAAATGGGTCCCAATTTGTTATATGTAAAACTCCTGCAAATATAAATGTTGTAATAAAAATAAGGAACGTGGAGATATAAAAGAAATAATCAGCAAATTGTGTAAGACGTACAAAGTAAGAGATCCATAATGAAATTTCTTTTTGTGATTGAAGAATTATTGCATATCCTAAGGCCATTCCTGAGAGAATCATATGATATACAGACATAAAATCTACGATATATCCGATTGTATATATTAAGTATCTTGCTTTAGTTTTGGCTTCTTCGGTAGCAACTGTTGGGACGCTTCCAATATTATCTAGGCGATAAAAATTTAAGTACCACTTACGTATCATTTTTTACCCAAATTGTACGTTTATTATATCAAAGGTTTTGAAATTTTGGAACTAAATATCATATAACTTTTAATTTAAGATTTAAAATCATAAGTAATTACATAAGTGCATTCATATATTAGAGATATGAAAGGAAAAAATCATCAGATTTCTTGATTGAATCTTTTGTACAAAAGGGAGAAAATATATCAGTATAAAATCGTTCTATCTGTAATTGTGCTTATTTTTATGATTTGGATATAGAAAATTGCGCAATATGGTGTATTCTGTTCTATTTATCAAAACAATTTACAAAGAAGATTCCTTACATAGTAGACAGTATATTCCATTAGAAGTTTTTCAATAAAAGCCCATTATTCATCTTTTGTATATCATATAGTTCACTTTTGGAAATTTGAGAGCAATTATCGTCGTAATTGACCACCATAATTAGATAATGGGTAAAAGGAAGAAAAGTACGCCAAAAGTTCAAAAGAAGTTTTATCGATTACCAAAGAACTTCCATTGTCCGTATTGTAATTGTGAAGATAGCGTCCATGTAACAATGGATTTAAAAAATCTGCGTGCAGACATTCATTGCGTTAAGTGTAAAGAAGGAGTCCCAAATGCTAAAATAACTAAAATTTCAGAACCGATTGACGTTTACGATGACTGGGTTGATCAAATTCGCGAACAAAACAAGAATTTCAACCCAGACAAAGAAGAACAGATGACAGAAATATATGAAGATGAAGAACCAATATATGAACCAAGCCGCTTACAGTCAAATGCTACCAGAAGTAATGAAGACAAGCATAGTGGTGATGAAAACGAAATAGAAAATACCTCCGATGATGAATCACTCTCTGATGATACGGATAGTTTGTCAGAAACAGATTGATAAAATTTTTTTGAAGTTTATACGATAATTTTCCGATTATTTAATCAAAATTTTTATTTATATTAAGAAATCTGGCCATTCTACTCTGCTTTTGTTAGTATTATTGTTTTTAGATATGTCATGATGATCTTTTTGAAATTAGATGACTTTTTTCATCATTATTTTTTCAACGCCAAAGCTCCCATGCAAATGAAATATATCACCTTAAATATTCTTTCCAGAGTTCGTTCTGACTATAAAATCATACTTCAAGCTTTTTTTTTGCTGAATCAACAGTTCAATTAAATTTATTTCTGAATTCTTTTGACAGTATTTAAATATAACACACGATTTTGTAGTTAAATAGAAAGGAATTTGTAAAAATTTATAAACAAAAATAATTATACAGAAGGAATGATTCGTGTTCCTTTGAGCATCTTCATCTGAATGAACTTGAAGTTAAAAAGAAGGAGTTTCATTGCCCTGGTCCATCCATCTGGATTTTTAGCGTCGAATAAAAACGATTCTTGGCTTATTGTATTTTCTTCTGTATTGATGATAAATGGAGGTGTCAAAGAATGTGTTCCTACAATGGAATTCATGAATAGACTTGAACAAAAGGCAAATAATTTGGTGATTGCTTGATTAAACACAACAACACCTTTTCTATATGTCGTATCTGCAGCATTGAGAACTGTGCCATCAATGGTTAATGGAATTCCGTTTGTAAGGTTCGAGCAATCAATATTTCCAATTCTGCACATCGAAGAAATCAAATGGAATAACATTGTGAATCCATTATTGATTTCTTCGTATGGAACTTCGCGTGAAATATTTTGTCCAAGTCTAAGAGTATTAATTGTTCCGTAAAATCGATTATAACTAATATGGAATATCATGCAGGATGTTAATGATGAAAATGCACGCGGAGGACCAGATGTTTTTGGTACAAGAGCACTTGAATTTATTTCGCCCTCAACATAGCCTTTTGTTAAGTATGATGAATTACGTCTTTTGCCTCCTTGGGTCTTTAAACGATTGGTTTCTTTCTCGTATTCGGTTTTGGCCTCAAGAAAAGCGTTCTTCTCATTAATAATTTTTTCAATTTCTTCTTTTAACGTATTTGCAAAAATAAATTTATCTGTAATATCAAGCCTTAGAAAAAGAGACTCTCCGTAGTTTAAAAATCCTGATTTTTTGCGGATCGATTGTAAAATATTTGAAGAACAGCTATTGCAGTAAGGGAACACTGATAATTTTGTACTGTCGAAAAATTCATTAAACTCCTGGAACTTTTTGTAGTGAGTCCAATTCATATCATTTTTTTTATAACTAAATGACTTGCTATAACTAATAAGTTCTGCTGGCCTCCTGGTTTTTGGAGTAGGACTTAAGTCAGGAGCTCCATTCATAGACTGAGTCCATGAATCAGATAATATCAGTGTTAGACCGCCACAAATTGGACACACAAATAGTGCGTTAACCTGTGGTAACTCATTTTCATTGTTTTCTTCGGATGAATTTGATTGTTTGTTTTCTTTGCCATCAGTATCCATCTGAAAAGATATGAAATGAAGTTAATATAATTAAAGAATTAACTCTAATCTTGATATAGAGTTAGAGAAATGATAAATTTTGGCTTTCTAATATGAATATTGTTTGAAATTATTCAATTTGTATGTATATTTCTTATAATAGCAAATCATATTTCATTTCAACAAAATTAAAAAGAATGTAATAAATAGCACCTATAACAGTTCAAGATAAATTCAAAAATGTAACATTTTGTTATAATTATAAAATTTTTATTAGGGGCTTATAATGTATGTGGATATTCAATGTGTTTTCAGTTTCAACGCAATCATGGGCTAAATATCTGCAATTTCAATCCTATAGGTAAAAAAAAGGATCATAAAACGGATATAATATAGCGCCCTTATTGATTAATTGATAATGCGAAGACTTTTAGATTGCTATTGTAAAAATTGATAGAATTCAGAAACTCATGAGAGAAACAATCAGCCAGCAATTGGAAAGTATCAAGATTTAAACATTTGTTGAGATGTTTGTAGAACTTGTTATTGTAAATTTTGAAACGAATGATTCAGAATGCATCGATAAGTTAAAGAAATCAAGAATAAAGGAAGAAGGATTCGATTTAATGGTGCAGGGAATGCAATCCAATGAATAATGGAACAGAATCTTCTACCGTTAAAGATGAAATCTGGGAAAAAAGAAAAATAAATTCCAAAAAAAATTTAAAAATTAAAATTTCAAGAACAATTTGTTGTTTTTCATCTTGTATTTCATTTTTTATAAAAATTTGGAATAAAAAAGTTTTATTATTTGTCATATTTTAAATTAATGTGATCTAATGAATTAAGGATGTCAATTCGGAAAATTGTTTTCATTTTAGGAGAATATAATTTTCCTTTTGGAAAATTTAAAAAGTGAGACGCGCAGGATTCGAACTTTTTTAAAAGTTGATTTAAATATATTCTAGTGTGGTTTCTAAGGATAATATCATATTTAAAATAAGAATATACTAGTTTAGGTGGTATAATTTTTTTCGATAAATTTGAGAGCATGTACGTTTAGGGCATCAAAAGTGTCAATTCGCTCAGCGAAAGCTGAGCTAGCTTCGTTCTCGAAAGAATAGGGAAGGAGTGAAAGAGAGTGATACAGATGTTGACACATTCATATCATTTCAACAAATTTTGATCAAATTGAAATGCAATGAAATTCAATTCACTTCATATCCTTCAGTCAGTACATTGACATCCTTCTACATCACAATGATAACTCGTGCATCAATAGTTCTACAACTAACTCAGAAAAAACAAGATTTTTCCTTCCAGCTTACAGCTTTTAAAAAGTTTCGATGATAAAAATCACTCTACTCTTGTTTATCGATATGTTGTGATAGTAGGTAAACGTATTCTTATCGATATTAATAAAAATATTTTTACGAAAATCTGAACCAATTACAGAGTTATTCATAAAGTTTATGATAACTGTAATTACTTCATCTTTGTTTTATATTTGAATAAACAATTTAATTTAATTTGCATAATTTTTTTTAGTTGAAAGACAGGAAACTTAGTTGAGTTTGTATTATTTTTATCGTTCAATTCATTGTATATGTGAGTGATCCAGATATTTAAGATATTTAGAAAAAATTTATTAATTTGATTAACAAATTTTAATCAAAATAGCAAAAATCTATTTGATAGCTGTAAGCAAATAATAATTTCTATTTCAACCAAAATCACTTATTTTCATTTAAACGTATAAAATTGTCAATTTTATGAGAATAAATTTAAAATCTCATGAAATATAAAGGAGAGTAATATTTTTCAATTTTCTTTTTTTCTTTCTCTCAAATATTTTCTATTGGGAATTTTCTTGTTATCAAAAAATAATTTTAACATTTGTTTATTTCATTACATACAATAAAATTTTAAAAACTCTATTTCTTCACAAGAAAATTTTTTTCCTTCATATGAAGAAACATTTTGTTCTCCATTTGATGCTGAGTCTAAATCTCGATTTTTGAATTTTCTTCTTTCCAAATTTCTTTTTTCCAAATTAGAAGTTTAATTCAAATTTTCAATAGTTTATATATTTTCTCAAACCGTCTTAGATTTTCTCACTTTTTAGGGATTTTCTCTCAAAATATACAAAAATAGTAATATCAATACATGTGTCTAATATACTTTAAAACCATCGTGATAAAATTCAAAAACGAAGAGTTCTTCTCTCCAAATTTTTTTCAAAACCAAAAAAATGAGATAAAAAAGCACGTTTGGAAAATTCATTTTTAGCATTTTAGGAATTTTCTCACTTTTCTTCCAAATTGACATCCTTAAATGAATCGAATTTCGTGAAAATAATTTATCATAGTTAAAAATTATCTCATTTTTATAGCTGAATCACGGTGGATATGTTGGGTTTATATTTTTAATTGATAATGTCTTCGTTTCTTCAATAAAATCACCTCTAATTTAGTAACGAGATTGATTTTTTTGGGAAAATCTTTTGATATGACTAGAATTTCCCTTCAAGAAGCATATATTTACAGGAAATACTTTACGATGCATATATAAAATCTACTCAAAACTTGAATTTGAAATTTTGCGATAAAATTGAAACTTTATTTTTCACCGTGTTATCAAAAATTAGGCCTTCACTACATATCTATTCTAAGTGTACTAAAATTATAATCCGATTATAATTGATTTGTGTAAACTAAATTTCCTATCGTCGGCGTTTACGTTAGTATTTTATCGTCATTAAACATAAACGCAAAAAGATGTTTCTTTTCTTTATCAGATTAATATTATCAGCGACAACAACTCAAGTTTCGGATTTATATGTTAATCAAGTAAATGGTAGCAATGCATACAGCTGGTTTCCTACTCCAGATACACCTACTCCAGCAGATTTTAATTTTTCAATTGTTAAATGCGTTTTCGAGTCTATTTCGATTACTAGAAGCGGTGTTTATGGTGGTGTTATAATTTCCACTGTTGGAAGAATGGCTTACAATTTCAGTGTCTTAAATTCCACCTTCACCGGCATTACAGTAACTGGTAGTGGCGCTTATGGTGGTGCAATCTACTGCAAGGGCACATCAACAACGACTACAACTCCAACAAAGTTAAACGTACTTTACAATAACTTTACTCGTTGCAATGCCGCCATATATGGATCCTGTGTCTATGCACAAAGCCTCACATTAGTAACAGTTTCATATAATACATTCAATGATACCACAGCGAATTACGGAGCCGCTGCTTTTATCAAGAACATAAATACAACAGCCAGTTTCAACAATTGGGGTGCTCTTACAAGTAACCAAGGCTATATATACTACCAGAACAACCCTGATGTCACCGGTTCATTCCTTTTAATTTCCTACTCTTGTTTCTTACAGAAACTCATTTTAACTTACTCTGCAACTTGGTCAGAGAACAGTCAGAAGCCAACAATCCAGCTCAACGCTAACACTATTTACGCTGATGCCACAATTGACGATGTTGTTACTCAAGTTGCTTCTAATGCTCAGCCGGCAGTTGCAGACATCAAATACGGCCAAACAGCCTGCTACAGAATTATTTCGGAACCTACACCTACACCTACACCACCAGAGGACCTTACTCCTGAACCAACAGATGTAGATTGGACTCCATACCCAACTCTTACAACAAACAATGTTACCGTATTTACACCAACTGCCACAGAGAAAAACAACGCCGTTGTAACAAGCGCAACTCAAAAGAAGAGCAAAGCTGGATTAATTGCTGGCTGCGTCATAGCTGCTTTGATAGTATTAATAGCTATCATAATCCTCATTGTATTCTTGTTGAAACGTGATACACGTACTGCTTACAATAACGACGGAGATGATGCCGGCGTTGATGGTTTTGCGGTCCATTAATTTGATTGTTGTTTAATGTTGTTTATATACATAGATATTTATCAGATATTTTTCTTTGTTATTATTATTTTTATAAATTCTAAAAACTTTTAAGAAAAAATTACGATTCCTATAGTTTTTGTTTGAATCAAACTTACAATAAAATCCTTACACTTGATCTTAACAAGAATTTGTCCATATTTTTCAAAATTTTTCTTTTCTTTAATTCTTCTGTTACTAATCAAAATCCCACATTTTAACTTAAAGTAACAATAAGTAGTTCATTAGATATTACTAACATCTAATTTCGATGTATTTTTTTTTATAGATTTTTAATTATTATGTATACTAGTCCTGAAACACCTGCCTATTTGCCCTAAAAACTAACAGTTGATGATAGATATCATAAAGACTATTTTTTTATACCTTTATATCCCAGTAGTATATGTTGATGGGTTGTGTGACTTTTTTTGTAAACGTAAGAATTCATACAATATTGAACGATTTTGTATCATTTTTTTTTAACATATGAAGTAAAAAATGTATGATTCTTACGGTTTTTATTCTTACGTTTTTGAATAAATCAAGATTTAAAAAATTTTCAAAATTGTAAGACATTTACACTCAGCCCATACATAATGAAATAAAAAATAATTTTTTTAAAAAAATAAACTTTAAAATAATTTATTTTATCTTTTATAAAAGAAGCTATATATATATAGATGATGTCAGATATTCCGCGATTAATTAAACATTGTTTAAATCCTGAATGGAATCAATGGAGTCATAAACGAGTAAAAGAAATTAGAAACTAATGATTATTTGAATTTATGAAATCAATTATTTGATTCATTCTTTCTTCAATCTCTTCTATTCTTTTTGTTAAATCATCAATTTTCATTAATGAGGTGATTCTTGATTGAGGAATAGATTTCAAACTAACCACTCCTTTTATTTTTGAAATTTTGAATCCATCAACTTTAAACATTTTATTCAATTTACATGTTGTCAATTCTTCAAATAATTTTTTATTATTGGCATAATAGTCATTAAATTCTTCAACAGATGAAAAAATTTTTATTTCAGTAATTGGTTTAACAACGTTTATTTTTTGTTGAACATTTTCACTTTCATTTATTTCTTCCTCCTCTGTTTCATTTATTTTTAAAATTGTTTTCATTTATCATTAAATAAAAATTAGAATATAAGTGATGAAATATATTTTTTAATTAATATTAAATCAGAAATGGCGGCAGGATTCTTTAAAAAATTATGGGATGGAATTAAGAAAGCTGTGGGTTGGGTTCATCAAAAGATTATTAAACCCATTGCAAACTTTTTGGCACCAGTAGCGAAAACGGCAGGAACTATCATAGGTGGAGTATTAGGTACTAAAGCAGGTAATCCGGCGATGGGAGCACAAGCAGGTAACGCAATTGGTGGAATTGCTGAAGGAATACTTAATAAAATAGGGGGTAGATAGTGGAAAAATAAATAAATATTATTTTTATCTTAGTATCGGTTGAAGTCTTTGATAAACTTTTTCTCCTTTATTTAATATTTCTCTTATTGGGGCAGCTTTTGGTGTTATTGATTCAGCAACGTCACTAATTGCTTCTTTATTCTTAAATATCCAATTTGCTCCTTTCTTCATTGTTTCCCAAACTTTATGCGCTCCTCTTTTTACTTTATCCCACAGTTTTTTAAAGAATCCTGCAGCCATAGTTGATTATTTCATTAAAATTAAAAATTCATTTTCATCTTTTAATTTTGATTTTTTATTTATTAATAAATGACGACTAACTATTTGGTGCCAAACACTAAACCGATTAATGGAAATGTGTTTCATTCATTCGAAAAGATAAATGAAATATTCGCAAAGAATGACGGTAGAAGATATTATAGAGAACTTGAAAGTTCATGCTATGACTCTGATGCTCCATATTTTGATGATAAACAAACTCATTTAAGAATTACAAATCCGGCTCATGATGTGAACCAATTAGGTGACACATATATTAAACGCAAAGTTAAAGCAACTCTAGTTTCAAATAAAGCTTTCACATGTGATGCCGCTTTTAAATGCATGCGTTTATTCGTTGGTTACAAATCATCAAATCAAAGCTTTAAACAATTAGAAGTAGAAACCGAAAGAGGTGATGCCGGTTATCTTCAGATGGATTGCGCCCGTGAATCTTTCGCATTTGCAACATATAAACCAAAATCAGAAAGGAAAGTTAAAAAGTTTGTTCATTCGTTATATAATAATGTTCAAAAATATGATAACTCAGTATGTGGTAAATATATTGACCCTTCAGAAGTTTTCAAGAAAGCAAATGAAGAAGTTGATGTCACTTTTGATATGATTATTCCGGTAAATGATTTGTTAGCATTTCAGGCGTTCGATGATTATCCTAAATCATTTGGTGAAATCATTCTTAAATATTATGTTTTCAGGGATACTTTAGTATTTTGTCAGGTTGACCCGTTAAGAGTTGCTGATTTACAAAATTACGTTTATGAAAAGATAACTGATGAAAATTATGAAAAGATTATGAATCATGTTTATAAATATGATCGCAAATTCCAACAAATCGGACTTCCTGCCAAATTAATTACAAGCTTAGCCGCTACATCTGCTGACGCAACAGTTGATAACGTTATTATTTCATGCACAAAGATGGAAGTTTTAGAGGATAAATGCATTACACCAGGATACGGTTTAATTGAAGAATCAGTTAAAGCAATACCACGTTTATTCAGTAAGGAAGATCCATTCATGATTCCAGCTCAACATATTGACGTTCGTTCACTAAATGGAGGTTGCATCACTCCTGAAGGTATCAGCTCAGATTTCTCATACGCTCTTCATAATGTTACAGATGTTGTGTTAACATTTCCGAAGAATGCAATGCAAAGAACAGTTTTAGAAAATCCAATGCTTCGAGGTCTTCAGGTCACTATAGATTCCAGAAACTTCCCCGATCAAGCGATGACCACAGTGGGTGACATATTCTTTACACGTATGCTTCAAGCTTCTGATTTAGATGGAGTGAATGAATGCACGGAAGAATACGAGGACTCATTAACTAGACCACTGAATGATGATAATGGCACGCCATTAGCTAGAACATGGAAAGACCAAACTTCATTCTTATGCACTATTCCAGTTCAACGTGATGGAGCGGGTATATTCTTTGATGGATTAGAAACTTTCAACTCACAAGTTACAGTACAAGTGAAAGCTTATCCAATCATTCAGGGTGAAAATGACACTTACTGTTCAAAGGTGACAAATCCTCCTCAGGTTTGGTTTACTAGGACTACATATTGGACATGGACACCGGACGAAGGTTTGAAATATCATCCAACAGGTACACCACCACAGTATAGAAGTTCATATGATGAAATATTGATGAATAGAAATGTTTAAAATTATAAATTTATTTTTGATTAAATGGATTTAAATTCATCCACCCCTTATGAAGAATTAGCAGGAGTATATAATACTACATAGATGATATGATTAATGAAGCATTGAGTGATAATAGAAATGCTCTATCTAAGGAAAAATTAATGAAAATTCCATATTCTGAATGTTACTTAAATTCAATCACTGCAGCAATTGGTAAACAAAATAAAGGTAAAACATTAACGATATTAAAACAAATTATCATTATTGCTAACACTTCCCCCATTCACATGTGTTAATTTATATCAACCGTTCAGGTTCACCTTCAGATGATACATTTGAATCTTTAAAGCATTTAATCAAAATTCCAATTATTTATTTATCACAAGAAGAAGCAGAAGATTATTTAAAAAACTTTTTAATGTATAAAGAATTATATAATACAATCAAGAAGCAAGGATTAGAGGATAAAATTATTGATAAACAACGGGATGAATTATTTGAAACACTTTCTATTTCAAATTTTGATAGAGAATTTTTGCATTCACTCATTTTTCTAGATGATGCGTGAAATCAAAACTAATAACAAATGAGAAATCATATTTTAATCAGTTATTAACTCAATGTCGACACATTCAGTGTTCATTCTTTATGGCTGTTCAATACTTCAAAGCATTAAGCACAAACATTAAATCAAATCTATCAACCCTTTTCATTTTCAGTGGTTTTAGTCGTCAACAGTTGAACGTTATGCTTTATCAAGTGAATTTACCAATGAGCATTAATGAACTTTACACACAATATCAGCAATTAGGTGAACATGGAAAAATAATAGTTGATTTAAATAAAGGAGGTGTTAAATTTGATTAACTTTTTATAATTAATTTTTATTTTTTATTTATAATTAAACATGACAGAAATAGCAAATCTTCTACAGGTTCCATTAAAACAAGGGACAAACAAAAAGGGTGCATATAATAGAACTATGAAAGTTCCAGACGGAATGAAAGAATTAGTCACATTGTTGCCGGTCTTCAAAAGATGTTAAACAAATGAGAAACGTTTTAACATTACCAGAAGCTCAAGCATATGCCAAACGTCATGGACCAAATTGGGAAGCACACGAAGCAGACATTACAGGCCAAATGGAAAACCTGATGGTATAAATGAAGTTTTCGTTACTGATGGTCAAGGTAATATTAAAGTCATAAATGGGTATAAATTAACTATGACTGATTATCCTAAACGTAAAGCATATAATGAACGTTATCCTATGCAATTTGATGAAAATGGAAAAGCTGTTAAACAATACATTGGAGAAGGTGAAAATGGTCCAATTAATTCATACCGTCATAATCCATATTCTTATTTCAATGCAGAATTAAATGCTATTGAAGAGGGACCGGATGGATTACCACGATATGTTAATCAGTTTGATGGTCAATATGCAAATTTGAGACCTGAAATTCCAGCTAAGAAATTCTTTAAAGTTGCTTTATTCGATCCAGTGTTCAATGAACAGAAAGAAGCAATGAAAGCAGAATTTAAACCAATTCAAGTGGCAAGAATTTCTTCATCTTCACTTTCAGAAGCGTTCAAGGAATTGATA